TGACCGCGACGCCAGTTGTCGTGGTTCGTACTCGGACTAGTATTTTGTATACGCATCAGATTCCGAGCACTAATAGTCCGACCTAGAACTAGGACTCCAAACGAAATCAGAAGTCAATTCAGAGGCAGAATGGAATCGTTATTGGCGGAAATTAGGAATACACAAGGATATCGTGTTCAATAAAACAAAAGAGTTTATAATTCATGAGCAATCACTACAGTGATGTTTATCACATCCCTCTCCCACATTGTAATTATAATGTACGGTAGAGATGGTCTATCTCCATCTCTGTACCTAGTGCACTCCCGGACATGCTGCTATAGGGCCCTCGAGTGCATCCATTCTAAGAGTGCGCTCTCCGCAGTTCCTGTTGGTGCCCGCTCAACCTCCCAATCGATTTTTAGGAAATTGAAATCTCCCAATATACAAACTCCTTGTGAGTGTCAACATAAGCTATCTAAGGTGCATAGGAGTGCCTGGTCCTCCTCGAGTATGCCTTCCGGGCTTCTGTAAACTCCTGCTATGCTAACCCTCCTCGAAGGTTGAACCAACAAAATTGAACACACCTGAACATTTCGGATGCACTGCTCTACTTTATCTTCGTGATGGGATATATCCTGTCTAACTAGGACTGCAACATTACTCCCAGTGTACCCCCTTTTATTTCCTGTCTGTGGACTATGAACTGGCTTAAGACTGGTTCAGGTATGTGGGCTTCCTGCGTTAGCCACGTTTCAGACAGGACAATCATCTCAGTCTTTGTCCCCGCAGCCACTGTGACCAGCTCTTCCCACTTATTCCTAATACCGCATGCATTGGCGTGCAATAGTATCAATGCTTTCCTATCCCCTAACGAGTGGTGTTTGTTCACTAGGATTTTTTTCGGGTGTAACACCTGGATAAGCAGCCCGTTTTTTGGCTGATCTATGGTGCGACCTGCGCGTAAGTGCTCAAGGTTCCTCTGGGTGGTTCCGAGGATTTTGGGCTCTCGAGACGCTCACTGCTCGGTTAGCCTCTGGCCTCCGATTTCCGCGTCGCGAACGCAGACCTTGCTGTGTTCTTACACTGCTCAAAGATCCACTCTACCCAACTATTTGCGCAGAAGAATGCAAAATGGTCTTTGCTAATACCTGAACAACCAGAATGTACCCACCTTTCGCATTCGATTCCCTTGAGCACTTTGTTCCCGCAGCTATCTTTCAAACACGGATAGGACATGCACGTCATTTTTAGTACAGTTGTTTGAAAAATGCAAAACAGTGATATGGAAAACGAAAGTTGAGTACGACTCGTAAAAGCGTTACACAAATCCAAATTAACCAAACCAAATGACTAACCACGGAGTTTTGGTCCGCGATGTTAAGTGCTTTTTGACAGAGCACTGTAAATAACTACGATCGAAAAACTCGGAGGAATAAAGTGTAAAACACAGTAAAGTGTCAATTTTTGGCAATTGCACTTTACTTTTACGATCGAGACAATAAGCGGATCAGAGCACGTCAAAATTTTTAACCGCGCGTCAACGTACCGCGAGTCAAGTTATCACAGTCATCCCAGCAGAGAAATAACGACGTGTATCACGACTCACAGGGAGAGGTTGTACTAGTAGTGAATCCGAATCTGAAGCGGGCAGCGATGGACGCGAAATGTACTCCACGTATTGGATGTATTTGGCCATGCGATGTTCAATCGTGTAATTATATGCACTGAGTGAGATTGAAGCTAACCGGTGGTTACAATCTGCCGGTAAGTCTTCCTACGAGTCTCAATATGCGCGCGACCTCCTAGTGTCTCGTTACCCGAGGTAGACAAAAACACTCGTGGGAGTCGTACAAGTTTATTGGCAAATCGTTGAACTAGAAAGTACCGAAACGTGCCGAGATGACGCTAAACAATGCAAGCAATAAATGCAGTATCACAGCGAAAGCGTATCACAAGTGTTGTGTGGGTTTGAACAAGACCCAGCTTATATATACAGCTGGGCGGAAAACTGTGCTCAGTCGAACAAGCAGAAGTAAAATGAAGAAATATCACAGTTGCAGTCAGAATTGATTGTGAAGGAAGTATGAACGGAAAAGTCCTCGTGGATTGCTCCTTTTCTTCTTACAATCATGGTCATCACAGCAGCCCCCCGCTAGAAAGCAAGCAAAAGCTTTCGATTCAGAAACGAGTTTGAAGAGCAAACAAACGTTAGCGTGTGGCCGTGCTGCAAGACATGGACTGGCAGAGTCGTTGGTATGTGTGGACTGTTTTGCGTCAATCGAACATCAACCAGATTTGTTGCATCGGATGTCAGCATAGGAACCATAGTGACGTATCCTCAATCGGTCATTGGATGATTCACACCATCCGATTCGTTAGTTGCATCATGGTGTCAGGTGGCTCTCGTCGTTTCCAGCGTCCGTGGTCGTCGGCGTGCCAGAATGAACGAAGAAGACCACTTATTGTTCATGTATGCAACCGTAGAAACGTAAATCGTCGCCAACAAACTCTTGAGATCCAAAGGGGCCACGACCGCGATAGAGGATATCAAAATTCTCGTTGAACCTTGAGGCAACCAATATGCGTTTCGTATGACCTGATCTCTGGAAGTGAAAGATTGTCGGAGAAAACCGGTGTAGCATCCTAACGTTCAAAATTGCTCCACCGATGAACTATAGCTGCAGATTTTCTGGAAAAGTATTTTCCAGGATCGAGAATAAAGTCTTAGGGCTCGTTATTGATAACGATAATGAAATGATCATCGAAAAAGAACTTGTGGAGGAGCTTGACTACCCAGGGTACTGCTAAGTCTTCGCGATGAGTTTGAGCAAAGCTTCGTTCAGCTACTGTTAGCCGGCGAGACGCAAGCAATTGGATACCCATTCTATTTAAATATCGCACCAATTCCATCCGGTGATGCATCATTAATAACAGTGTAATGAATTTTGGGATGGTGATGTACAGCGTCAGTCTGCAGAAAGTTTAGCAATTCACGTAAGCAACGTTCATGAACATCAGTGCAAACAAATTCGTCAGAAGAGAGAAGAAATAGGGGTGAAGCTTTCTGACTGAAATTAGGGATAAATCGAGAGTGATACTGTAGAGCTCCAATCAATCATCTGAGCTCGTGTATGTTAGACAGTGATTTGGCTTTTGTTAGAGGAAATAGACGTTTCGGGTCAAGTTTGTACCTTTTACCATTAACTACATATCTAAAACATTCAAAATGATAGACAGAAAATAAACACTTCTTAGGATTAACAGCAACATTCTTATCAGGAAACCTGCAAACGCGTTCAAGCAATCGTGCGTCATGGGTGGATTTGTCAGGAGTATGGACAATGACGTCATCTTGATATACTTCAACACCAGACATACCGCTGGTAATATCATTAATAACTTGTTGAAACATGGCAGGAGAAACGGATAAACCGAATGGCAGAAACTTGTATCTGTACAAACCAAATGGGGTATTAATGGTTGTCAAAGTAGATGAGGTTTCATCTAACGGAATTTGTAAATATGCATCTTTTAAGTCGATCTTGAAAAAGATCTTAGAACCAGTCAACTTATTCAGGATGTCCTCTGGTTCAACCGTTGTACATGTCCGCTTTAACAGTCTTTGATTTAAGGTGATTCGGTAGTCGCCACATATTCTGGGGTTCTTGCCATCCGACTTGAGTGGTGTGACGATTGATGTGCCCCATGCTGAAGATACCACCTTCTCCATAACAACTTTGGAACCGGAGTTGTTCAATGCATTCATGACAGGTTCACGAAGGCCATATGGAATAACTCGGCGTTTGAGAAAAACTGGATCACCACTAAGTGGTAGCTTCACTGGGGAGTTTTCATGTCACCACTGGCCTTTGAGCATTTAATAATCAAATCTTTCAGTTCGTTTTCAGTATCCATAGAGATTAAGAAGGAAAGATTGACATTTAATGCTTGCATAGCTTTCAAGCCTAGTATAGAGGGACTAGACTTGGTTACGATGAATGTTTTGGTAGCACTTTTAGAATGGTCATCACTGACTGAAATCTCACANCACAAGAAACAACAAGAGGTAATGAGTGTCCAGTGATGCCATTAATGGTGACAGTAGACGGTTGTAGTATAGCATCTGGAGCAAACCGTTTTAAACCACGAACATGAATTAGAGATTCCAGACTACCGGCATCCAAAATGAAATGAAGTGATTTATCAGTAGAACTGAATAGTCGCTTACAAATGTGACCGTAATGGGAGGTAATTGCCAAAGATAAAGAGGAAAAATGTTTGTGTATGTCACTCTCTTCTGAGTCCTTGGACTGAATTAAGCCACAATTTTTGGTACTGCGACACAATATGGCCGGGGTTGCTACACTTGTGACATGAAACATAACGAAATCGACATGTGAATCTGTGTACTAGCATTATTTATTTATTTATTATTATTATTTATTTCCTCTGATTCATGTAATAGCCCCATTTTGTTTTATTGCTCTCTGTTTCGTGATCACATATGACCTCAAACATGGCACAATTTCTGGTGAGTTGTATCGTGCGCTTTGCTCTCTGTACACTTTCCACTGCAGGTCACATTACACTCTGATGCTTTTACTCGACTTTGTTCTCAATAGGTTGCCTGGTTGAAAAACACTTGGATAAAGCCGCTTGGTTGATTCGGTGAGCGCATTGTTGCCCAGCTCGTCTTAGGTGCCAAAATCTGGAATGACGTTTACAACAGGATGCAAAATTGCTATAGAATTTATCCGAATTCGTCACATTGTGTGAGATAGATTGTGCAGCTGGTTTGAAACGCCCGGCTGTAGTGTGAACATTCGCGGATTTAGTGAATTGAGTGAATTGAACACGGCTGTAGATTCGATGGATGACGGCATGGATGATGCAGTTGCACGACTGTCCTGTTATTGTTCACAATGTGCCCTCACATTGTTAAACGTCGGACTGGATAACTTTAGAAGTTCACTTCGCAAAACAGTATTGTTAATGCCAGCAATTAGCCGGTCTCTCAACTACATGTCCAGTAAGTCTCCAAAATCACACTTTGCAGCTTGAGTGAGGAAATCCAAGATGAATTCACGGATGCCCTGAATCGGATTGCGTACCAGTGAATGAAATTTGGCTCTCTCTGAGGCTTCAAAGTTTGTTGGCTCCATATGCTGTAGAAGAAGGTAATTTAAATCCTCGTACGGTACGGAAACAGGTGGAGAGGGATGTGCCAAGTTCTTGATTAGTGTGTAAGCATTTTTACCGGCAGCATTGGAGAAGAGAGCGGATTTCTTTTGCTCATCAGGCTTTGAACGAGTCAACCACCAAACCTTAAACCGTTCAAAATAATCCCCGATATTGCGTGCACTGCAGTTAAGATCTAGGGATTCTAGTGGAGTAGAATTCATTTTTCAGTAGACCGGCCGCGACGCCAAATGTAGTATTGAGAATAGTATTCGAAATGCAGCTCCAGAATTCGCGCAATACCAATCCCCAAAATAGAACAACTTCGAATAGAATAGCACACGTACTTTATTAGAAATGTATATTTTGCACATTCAATGCATTGAAAGTTTACAAGGAATTTCGAGATCAGTGTCACACATCACATTATAAGTACGTCTGCTTTCCTACACTAAACTGCTGACCTTAGTCGAAACAGCTGTCCTCTTGCCAGGTGTGCTGTAGCTTCACTTTGGATACTCCAACTGTAGTCTGCAGTCAATATGACTCATTGTTCCCCGGAACCGGTTACAGTGTTTACTTCAAATTACCCCTAATCACCTAGAGCCTTCAATGGTTCCTGAATTATAGAGAGTAACTGACTCTTTATTGCATTTAATGGCAGATCCCATGTGTGGGACCACCTAACCTCCTTCGCGATATCTTCTCAGTTTGATCGTCTACTAGATTCAATTGTCTTTACATCATCAGCGAACATGAAGCATGTTGATCTGATAATTTCTTTCTTTCTTTTTAATAATTTATGAACAACAGAAATAGAAGCGAGCCTAGCACAGACACTTATGGCACGCCACTAAAGACATGAAAGACTTGTGACGTTTGTTTCCGTACCCTAACGCAGAACGTACTATTTAAGTTCATAAAATAGAACCACGCCAGGTTGGAAGTAAGGGCAAACTTCTTTGCACACAGAGTCATGCCTATGTGGAACAGGTTACCTGCAGAAGTGGTCAACTGCACCAATGTTAACGCCTTCAAGGTGGCCCTGGACGCATGTTGGTCAGCAACGTTTCCCGAAGTTAGTATTTAGATTGGGAACATAAGGAATAAATTCTACCTTAGCCGGAAGCTTTGAAATGGTGCA